TATTCTTTTTATATTTCAGCATTACGTTCTGTATAAAAATAGGGACAAGGGGAGTGGATATGAAGCTCTAATTGAGCCATAAATTTTCTCGACTTTGATTGTGGTACCGCGTTATCGATTTTACCCATGGTATCGTTTTTATTGACGGTATCGCAATTGATTTTATCTTGAGCATGTGTTCTTATCTTCAGCAGATTTATTTTTATGATACAGAAGTAAACATCGAAATGTTAAACTAAAAATATAAAGTTATCGATTATCGTATATGATGAATTAAAGCCTGGAAGAAATTAATTTGAATAGGACGAGACTTTGTTGGATATGTTTTACAGTAGTGTGTATCCGACGTCGTTTGATGATTACTTTGAAAGAGTAGAATCGACTTGTATATCGATCCATTTGTGACTGTTGATTATCTATTTTTTACGGCGAATATTGAATAGTTTTCGCGGTCTGCGAATAGATTTAACTGTAACTGAAAGTCGTAAGTTATCATTTTTATTTGTCTAATTTCTATTGTAAATGGATTATTTACCACAACTTGTACATTAGTGTAGTATTTGCACTGTATGGACCTGGTGAGGAGTATTGTACTACTGTACACTCATGGACTGCAGCACTAGATTTTCTTTTATTAGTCCATGGTACAGTGCTTCGAGCAGTCACCATGAATATTAGTTTGTTAATCTAAAGGATGTACTTGTAATACTGTAACCTAACTGTACTATTCATGTATGGCGGTGGCTTTTGTAAAGATGTACTGATTGTCAATCCAAATTAACGGTATCATTTATTTTTTTCCATATTTTGCTACCGAGCTGCAAAGTAGTAAAATAGTGTTACCGAATCGCGCTTACTCTTGTAAACGTTCATTGTTTATCAATCTAGATCAATGGCATGATTTTTTCCATCTTTCGCCTACCAGTAATAAAGAGATATTACAGTGTGATTAAGGAGCGAAATATGGAGTGTTGAGATTTGCAACCAACTATCCCAGCCCATCAGGGAGAATCAACTTTATATATAGCCCTATTTACAATCGTATTTACTAGAGGGCATTGCTTTATAAGGATGTAAAATCCCGCATAGCAATGAATTCACGTCATTTAATTTCCCCCAGAGAATAGTTATGTCCTATTGACTGGGTACAGTAGGCAGTAAACTGCTTCACCTTCTGAGTTTTGATGTGAAGCTTGGCTAAACTACTGTGTAGCAAGCAAGATTATAATACTTGCGAGCGTGTAAATCCCCGTTGCTCATTAATTAATTAATAGCTCTTCCTTATACTCTATCTACAGTATAGTGATCGTTATTTCGGTCCTAAAGTAACCATACCCAACCGCAGTATGATTTACGGTCAAGGACTACTCGCTCATTCTTGGGGGTCCCTTTTTTCCCCGAGTAGCTTCTAAGTGTACGCAAGCATTAACGCTCAAGCAGTAGTAAAGCGAAAATATGAATTTTGTTGCTCAAAACTACCGCGTAAATTGCAAAAGTTCATGTTTCCACTGACTAATATAGACCGTACATGCATGTTATACAATACTAGATACAGCCATGGACTACGAAGAAAGAAGTCAGTAGTCGATGATACAGAAGAAATGAGTACTGAGGCCGGGACCTACTTTGGAATCTGGTACTACTAATATAGTAATATAATATAGACCGTATATACTGTACAATCTAATAAGTCAGTACATTGTACATTACTAGATACAGCCATGGACTACGAAGAAATAGGTCAGTAGTCGATGATACAGAAGAAATGAGTACTGAGGCCGAGACCTACTTTGGAATCTGGTACTACTAATATACTAATATACAGTAATATAGACCGTATATGTTATACATTACTAGATAGAGTGATGGACTACGAAGAAATAAGTAAGTAGTCGATGATACAGAAGAAATGAGTAATGAGGCGGGACCTACTTTGGAATCTGGTACTACTAATATACAGTAATATAGACCATATAGGTTATACATTACTAGATAGAGTGATGGACTACGAAGAAATAAGTAAGTAGTCGATGATACAGAAGAAATGAGTAATGAGGCGGGACCTACTTTGGAATCTGGTACTACTAATATACAGTAATATAGACCATATATGTTATACATTACTAGATAGAGTGATGGACTACGAAGAAATAAGTAAGTAGTCGATGATACAGAAGAAATGAGTAATGAGGCGGGACCTACTTTGGAATCTGGTACTACTAATATACTAATATACAGTAATATAGACCGTATATGTTATACATTACTACAGTAGATACAGTTATGGACTACGAAGAAATAAGTAGTCGATGATGCAGAAGAAATGAGTAACGAGGCCGGACCTACTTTGGAATCTGGTACTATTAATATACTAATATAATATAGACCGTACTGTATAGGTTCTACATTACCAGATACTGTACAGTCATGGCTTACGAAGAAGTCAGTTAGTCGATGATACAGAAGAAATGAGTACTGAGGCGGGACCTACTTTGCTATCTGGTACTGTAACGTAATTCCTGACTTTGGTCACCTGGTCTACATTTGGCGCCAGATTCGTGCTTACAGTACAATTCACAGTAGCTGGACTGTACACGGTACAAGTCTTGTCTTCATTGCTCTTTTCTGTCGGCATTTAATAGAGACATTATTTTTGCTAGTCATGTGTCTAGTACTCTACAATATCCTTTGGCATTGATAATAGTTTCATTGCTTGCATTACCATCACTAGCAAAAATAATGTCACCAATATATGCCTGCAATATTGCCTACAGTACCAAGTCCACTTTATTGATAAAATGGACTTCATGCTCTTATTGGCCATCGTGTTAACCAACGAACATCCACCATACAGTTCACCCATGTTGCACGTACTGCATCGACAAGTTGACACTACTAGTACGCCGCCTACAAAAGTCAGCCGAAAGATATTATCTATTTTGCCTTCATTGAAAAGATTTCTTTGCTCAGGATTCCTTTGGCAATTGCTGTCTTGTAGGCTTTTACCTAGTTTAGAACGATTTATTGCCCTTTAAAACTGGAATTTTGACAGACAGAGCTGTAGGATCCATTCATTCAATTGCTAACTAAGATTTTCCATTGAGATTAGTTGTGGTAGTGACAAGTTGGATATCCATTGGTGTGCTTGCAATCTCCCTTGTCTGCCTGCGAAAAGCGAGTTGAAATCACTGCTGGTTGATTTTTTTGATATACACGGACTTCCCAGCGAACTAGGTTAGGAAATCATGGCTAAAGTCAATGTCTGTAATGTCTTGGTACTGGATAATCCAACAAGATCCAATAATCCCTTTCAATTTGAAATTACCTTTGAATGCATGGAAAATTTACCTGACGGTATGATTCTATCAATGTAAAAACTTTGTCCAGCCATTGCAAAAAAATGCTGCTGTGAAATTTTTTTTTTTCTTCAACCTAACGGCCAACAGCAGTGTAGTCCTTGTTGGGCCTTTTGCATACTTATCTGCAGGACATGATACTAACTCAAGACAGACTCTCTGTCATGACTAGTAGATAGGATACATTAGTAAATCTCGTAAAATAATAATTCCAATGACTAGTTGTACGCCACTAGATCGGTTTGGAATACCCGTACAGTAGTTTAATTGACTGGCTTGAGTCTACTAGACATGCTTAGAGGTGCAACTCAATGGACTAGCTTGAGCACAAATCATTTTAATGTTCAACTATCGGCTTAATTAATAGACTAACTGAAATTATCGATAAATTATGCAAGATAATTAAATCTACTATTTTCTCGAATGGATTACTCTAGATCTTGAATGGAAATTGATTTACGTGGGTTCTGCTAGTGATGAAAAGTACGACCAGTTATTAGATTCGGTTTTAGTAGGACCTGTTCCTACCGGAAAGCACATGTTTGTATTTCAGGTAATTCATCATGCATTGCAATCAAGTTTTAACAAGTGTATGTTAAACTTGATTATCCTCAATACAAAGATACTGATAATACTTTTCTGCTTGGTATGAGCTGATTGAAATCGATTTCATTCTGCTCCGCGGTATGAATGTTGTAGCAATACGTAGCTGTAGCACCATTAATGACGCTTTTAAAAATTGCTAAAACTGGACGTTAGTTACGGATTATCATTTTAATGACGTGCTTACCATTAATTAGCTACTGTAGGCATACTGAACATCTTGTACTGTACATGCAATTTACAAAGTTGATGGAAAGTGCTATTGATCATGCTATTGTTAGTAATTTTATTGAGTATTGACTTGCACTGACATTATTTGTTATATGAACACAGGCTGAACCACCTGATCCACGTAAGCTGCCGATTGATGATGTCGTTGGTGTCACGGTAATATTATTAACATGTTGCTATCGCAATCATGAATTTATTCGCATTGGTTACTTTGTCAACAATGAGTATATTGATGAAGAATTACGCGAGAATCCTCCTAGTTCTCCCATTTTCGATAAGGTAAGTGACATGCATATGGATAATATGCGTATACTGAAGGATTACTGCATCTATCCTACCTATAGAGTGTATATCTACGAAATAAAAATTATAAGAATATGTATGTAAAGTTGGCTATTCTCGATATAACAATAAAGATCTTACAGTAATTATTCGACCGAGTTCTTCGGATGGCTTTTAATAATGTACCTGGGTAGTAATAACTAAGAGAATGAATATACTTCAATAACATATATATTATATGGTACTTTTATAGCTGCAACGGAATATCCTAGATACAAATCCGCGAATAACAAGATTCAAAATCGATTGGGACGATATTACGACCGACAACACAGAATCTATGGAAACTTGTTGATGTAGACAATATATTTTATGTCCAAGGTACAATTTGTACTCCCTTATGGCTTATTGTGGTCGTTTAGGTAAAAAATAACGCTCTAGTTGGAAAATTTAAAGACAATATTTCTATGGTATAGAGTGCACAATTCGATCGGTGATACAAGTTAAGGCATCGCATGTAAATCCGTACGATTGCTTACTGTATATAATGTTAAAGTGATTTAGTTAACGACTTCATATAATTGGAAGATGTATCAGAATTAATTAAATTAGCGTAACTTTGTTTATTGCATTGCTAAAAATTCACTGATGTTAAATGTTATACTGTACGTTTAATAGAAGCCAGCGTCAATTCTTGTCCATAGCTACAATAGACTAAATGCATTCATCATAAGCATGAAAGAATTTTATGTACAACTTCTCGGAATTTATCTGACATTGCAATCTTTCGTCTAGTAAAAATTCACGTATCAATAGAATTCTTGCAATGTATTATTGGTACTTATTACTTATTCAATATCTAATTTATAGTACTGTAGAACTAGAATTATTGTAATGAGTAAATCTGCTTGCCTTTATGAACTTTTAAAATTATAATGCTGTTACAATTAAACTTGAAAGGAAAGCACGTTACTTTCTTAGATAATGATAATGATGACAACTCGTCAGATTGTTGTCTTCATACTTAAATTGTTGTGAACGTTAACATTATTCGTTTTCCGTGGTTATCCTTACTCTTGGTATTTAAAAAGGCTAACAATCTTGTTAGATAGTATACATATTACGTTATGTTTCATCGGTCTTGTTATAGTAATTGTTTAAGCCATAGCTTTATAAAACGTAAGTGTCAATTCACATTTATGAATCGATCATATCCTACCAACATGTAGCAACGATAATTTTTTACCTTGTACGATACTAAATGTATAGTTCAGTGGCTTTGACTGTGGGCATCAGCCAAGTAATTCAAGCCTTCAACACTGTATCTTTTTTCGCTGGATTATAATTATCGAACATTTATCGCAGCGTCATGGTATTAGCTCATGAGCTATATACCATTCGATATTTATGACTGTCAGTCAATGTTTACGCGCTTGGAATTTCGTGACAACAGCAAGCTTTGTTCCTAGTATAATGAGAAAATATTATCACTTCCAAGCAATTTTTTCACGTTATGTCGTCTTATTTTATATTACATGTTACAAATTCTTGCTTGTAATGATAATGTAGTATCGCTAAATTATTATTTACCTATAGACTTTTCTTGCTATTACTATATCGTGACTGATAATTGAATCAGTATGCTACCGTTTTAATTATACTGTCATCTATAATCATCAGTTTGTTGAACAAATAACCTTTCTATATTCGTGTTAAGATCGGTTCAACCGATGCTACCTTGATCAATAAATTGACGAGAGTGAATTACGTTTGTTTTGGGTATGTTTGGGTACCAGCTTGAAGGAATTTTAAGATGAACAGATTCAGTTAAACACAGAAACCAATATGCAGGAGAGTTTCATAGTAGCATATCAATGAGCCGTAGGTTGCAAATGTGATGCCTCTGTTACTGTCTGTGTGCAATTCTTAAGTCTCGAAACTATTGATATGATAAAATTCTTTATCTAAGTGATCAGTTCTTGCTTAAAATAAAAGATATCAGAAGCATTGATAGCTTGGTTACGACTCATTGCACAGCATGCATCGAACTCAATAACCCTGTATATTTTGAGCTATCTCATAAACAGGTTCACTTATCAATTTTTTGTCATAATTACGTGGATAAAAATACTACTGGTGTGTCGATTAGGCTTATCCTGGAATTACCCATTAATGATTTATAATTAAACAAGCGTTAACTGTGCCAAATTTTAAGAGCTAGTGACACAAAATTCCAAAGCATGAGCGATCAGGAGACGTATTGTAATAGTGTTACTGCATCACCTCGAAAACGTGAGTGCAAGAAGTTTTATACATCTGTTGAAGATTTAATGCTGTTACAGACGGCAGTCATAATTAGTCCATTTACCCGAAATTATGGTACAATTATGAAAAGTTGGGCTAAAGTCAGTCGTATCATGCAAGATCAAGGAATGCCATCAAGTGCAACACGTTGTCGAGATCGGGTAAAATTGTTACTTTCCTATCTTGCTCATAATAACATTGAAAAAATAGCAGCAAGCGATGAAACCAGTGAAGAAACTGATGAAAAATTGCGATTATTACGTCAACTGGAATTAAGCCGTCAAAAATGTGATAGTATAAATCTACCAGGTTCTAGCAACCAATCTGGCTCTGCTGTAACCTTTTCAGCAAGCCAAAGTAGCACCGGTCGTAGTGATCGATATCATCGATCATCTATTATGGCCAGTAATAATAATAATAATGGTAGGATACGTCATAAGAAACGATCAAGAGATGAAATTTTGGAGGAAAACAATGAATCTAATGATCACGATGAATCCAACGATGAAAATGGTCTAGATGGTGTTAGAGGAGACGACAGCCAGATTAGTAAACGATGGAAACATCCAAATCTGTCGTCATCACCTACTGATGATTTGCGTCAATTGATTCACTTGTTAAAAAATACAACGGAAAAATATTACCATTATCAAAGTCGTCTCCTTGATATTGAAGGTAAGGAGTTAGATGTTGATATTGCTAATTTAGAAGCTGAACGTAGAAGGCTGGAATTAGCCACGAAAGAGAGGCGTACTAGACAATTAGATCGGATTAAGAGGTTGGACATGGATCGTGAGGAGCGTATCAAACTAATCCAATTCATTGAAGAAAAGTTATAGAATGCTTGAGATGCATCTGTATGGTGTTAATTTTTGCGTAATCGAAAGATAAAGCGAGATAATTGGCTGCTGCTTATTAAGCATGATCTATACTTTGTAATAACTCCTATGTTAAGAAGTTCATCTCGTATGTCGCTGCGGATGTACCATAACAGACATTAAAGATGTTCAATTACGGATAAAGTTAACATATTCAAAGCGATTTAATATTAAGCATGAATTGACAATTAACATCTGATATCTGATTTATAGAAATTTTATTTTATAAATTGCAGTGCTGTAATAATTTTTCTACACTTGGCTAATTCTTTAGACCTTACCTAGGCTTGGGAATCAATTTACAACAAAATTTGTTGTTTCGTATCTAAGTTTGGCAGATTTTACCTTCAGGCCTTTCTTTGTTTCTAAAGATGAGCGATATGTGTAAATTTCGTTTCTCATTCTGAATTAACCGTAACTATACTATAGGGTAATAGGGATAAATAATGTTTTAATAACAAATTCCGTGGTAACTGATAATATATTATATTATATCTAATTAAACAGATTTAATTGTAAAAGTAAGGTTATCAACATGCATTGTGAATATTTTTATAACATTAAATGTCAAATTTCCCGGTACAAATTGTAATGATGAAATAACAAGCTCAAGACAAAAAAGGAATTCGTTGTTTAATTTGAGCTATCAATTTATGTATTCAAGTTAAAATTAACTGTTTCTTGACAAAATTAATTTGTATATAACGAAGCTATATAACAAGAAAAGACGATCGATATAAGTAATCTAGAAAGCGACACATTTATCAAGAAAAACATCCGTTAGCTATGATTTAAATAAAGCCATGATAAGTATTATAGTTTATAATATCCTAGTTTCTAATTATTGTGCTGTTTGGATATTATTTTAATAGTCCGAAATGTGACGCTCGGCTTAAATCTGTCGATAATGTTGTCCTTTGATGGTCCTCCATGTCTAGCTATGCGTCTACTTTGCTGACAAGGAGATTCTATGGGCTTTCATGTTACACCTATTGTAGCTTAGAGTATCCTACAGCAGGATTGCATTATTACATCATTGCAATCAATCTAGAAGCCCTCGGATATACTTACTAAACTAAATGATACCTACTTCAAAGCATAGGTGCAAATATTACGCTAGTGATAAGTAACATCCAGTTATCAGTGAGTACTGTATATTGACTTTGAGGATGTTATTTCATCTGTTATAATACAAATTAGACCACTTGTTAATGAGTATACACTTATCGAGATGATTAACAATAGAGAGTTCTAACTTTTCGTATGGCAGTAGCACTGACAAGGACTAATTCGTATTAGTTTCAACATAGCAAACAAAACTTAAATCACTACGTTTACCATACCTATTCTTTAGTTAGTAAAGTTAAGGTCGATATTCATCTAATTTCTATTTCAAATCTTGTTGAAAGCAATATTGAGAATGCTATCAGGCTCTAATCAAGCCACACTATATGAAAGACTTCATAATGAAATTTAAATTCTTTCTCATGATTGGGTCAACTTAAAAAATTTGGTCATGAATGATTCTCCAGATATACATGAACTTGAATTCATATCTATTTAAGATGTAACAGCCTGTTAAGTTGATGTAGGAGGAGGCACAAATTTTAAATTTTATCTCAGCCTTGGCTATGTAGGATATATCGATATCAATATTACATTCATTCTCTTAACATAATCTTATTTCCACCTTGTATGGTTTAAAACTTACTTCTATCAAAGTTTTCGCATACACGTGTTTGTTAATAAATAACTGCAATACTGCGATAGAGTAGTTTAATGTTAATAATTGTGCTAATTAAAGATCATTAATTCGTACAGGATTCCTAATAAACTGTAATTATCACGGAAAGGCTACTGGTCAGGTAGTCTGTTGCACCTAGTTTATATTAGTTCACATATTAATATAACATCAAGCTAAAGATTTGCAGGTTATCCTCAATATTCTTCAAAAATAGACGATTAGATCGCCTTCAATATCTAACGATGAGATGGATATCAAATCTACTAAATTGCTTTGTAAATAATATAGCGGCTAAGTGCAATGGTAACAATTGTACCATAGATGGTGAGTACATTCTCGAGATTAGATCATTGTATTCAGTTCGTAATCGAATATCACACATGATTTTGAATGCATTGATTTCAAGATTTAATATCTGTCATATTCCAAATATGAATGCATTGCCACATAATTTGAAAACTGATAGTTCATACCGTACTCAGCTATAGTTACTTGCATATCTCTTCAAGTAGTTTGATAGATTGTCTATGTTTCGTAGTAATATCCGATTTATTGACTGTTCCATGATTTCAGGATTAATTAATAGAGAACCGTTTTATAAAAAAATTTGAATAATGTACAAACAAACTAATCACACTCACATTAAAGAGATTATCTAGTTTTCGCTGTTAGAGAAGGGCTACGATAATTTATAGCTCTTACAATGCTTATAATGATATAATCTATGCAGTGAGTCTTAAAAATCGATGGTACAATTAGGAATTAGAGTAAAAATTACTCTTCGATATCACTAATAACAACTACAGTATAAATATTTGCGGTATTGCAACGTTTCACTTAGATCATATGTAAAATGAATTAGTACAATAATGTTATATTACTGTTAGCAAATTGAAGTCTAGGTTTGGAGCCACTTTATGCTTAAAGCAGCTAACTGTACATAAAAATTACTTGATTTAATTCATCTAAATTACATGCCATACTCCATGCTAGTATTTCGGTAATAGTCGTGGTGCACTATTTTTGTCCTTATTCATTATCGTTTAGTTCGATACCTAAATCCTCCAAGAAATGCTTTTCTTCAGTGAGATATTCTTCATACTCCTGAAATATTTGCCAATAGATTGCAGAATTGATTTGCAATGGATAAATAGTAACGAAGTCGAGTTAGCCTGTGATTAGCGCTATTTTTAACTTATTTTGAGTCGAATTTGGCGTGAACATTAAATGCCATTACGAATTAATTAAATAATAAAATAGAGAGGTCTACTGTATGATCTCTCGGTCATCACTAACTTACCCTCTGAGCTTTCTGTTCCCATTCATAATCACTTTCCTGGTTGGCGTGAGTCATCTGTTATGCATTAATATTTTACATTATTAGTCCATAGCTACGGGAACATTCTTTGATTAACTTTTAGTCATATCACTTGTTATATGAAATTTAATATGGAATTTTACCGTTATTGTTTTGGATTTTTCAGATTCACGCTGGCGTTTTTCTTCCAGTAAAATTCCCTGTCTATCAAGCGAATATTCTAATCTCTTTATTTCACGATCCAGGAAATTTTCCATAGTTAGTCGCTGGCAAACCGTAATTGAAAAATTAATATGACCTCGCTAGTACAATTTAATGCTAAATATACAATAAGATACGATACTGATAGACGATAGAGTTGATCTCAACTACAACTATGACTAGAATAAAGAGAGAAAAAGAGAAAAAGTTACAAGATATCTACTAACCTCATTACTGGATGGATGATGGAGATTCCATGGTACTTCCATAATTCTGAGGGTTCCTTCTTTATCGCCCGCTGCTAAAAGTTGCTGCCGAGCTATATTCAATTTAAAGATGATAGAACTTCAGTGCTAAGATTTTTATTCAATCCTGGAAATAGAATCTAATTTCTTTCATGTTTAAATCTGGTATTATGAATACGATAATCTACTAATGGATAAGAGAGGAAGACTTACAAGATAATTGATGTGCGTAGATGTAGGTGATTGATGCCGACGAAATATCTTGAACTAGTGAAGGCTCATGCGATCTACACATTAAAATTGACATCATTATTACTCGAGTAAAATCGATGATAGAACATTTTTCAGTGTTTTATCACTAGTAGCCACATGTTATGCAATTACTTTCATAGCTATGTCTAACCTATCCAATAAATCCCAAACATCAATCATTCCATCAACTTTACCAATAAAAATAACACCTAGGAAGATAAATTCAATTTAAATTAATACTAAATTCCAATATTTATCTGACTTTACATCAGCTCTTTTACTAACTACAAATTATTCAGTCTCAATGTTTAGACGCATAGGTTTAAACTACGAGTAATTATTAAGCCAAATTTTAAATGGCAGTAGTGTGGGTTCTTTGATTTACAATAAATTGAGTATTTCGATATTTGAAAGTTTCAGATTAATATTCTTCGCGTAAAAATTAAAGAAGCTTTGCAAACTTTTAAAGATTGGATATCATATTAGTAGTATAATCGATATATCGGACAAAATCAGCTTTCGTGATGTGATCGCATTTAATGACTCGTAGTCTACATTATTCAACTAAATGGATATTAAACGGTTTTTTCAGATTTTTTATGAAATTTCGCTGTTACGAGTAATAAGCTATTTCAACCTATGAAACGTACATACTGTATTTTGTTTAAATATCATACTCTGATATAATGAGTACGAAGCTGTTTACATGACTAGAAAGATTTCAGCAAGACTTTATAATATTGTGTTAAATGGATAGTTTAAAAGAAATACTACTGCATGGTGCATCATATTTAAGGCGTGAGTTACAATTAATGTTGGAATAGAAAACCTACTTGGACGCGTAGGGCTCCAGTGGCCATAAGTAAGTCGTTTCGTCGAGGATGATGAAATGAGCAATGGTCCAGTCTATGAAATAAATCCAGATTAATCAATGAAATGGCTCTGCCTTTCATTAGAATTTCTATAATTACAGATTTTTACAAATATTCGTTGCAATGTCATTTTACCGTAATTCCTTCCTTCCAAATGGCAAAATGCCATGGTCCAACGGAAAGATATATACCATCGAAGAATGGCGATTGCTGAACAACATTAATGTAGCTATCATGTGCATTAAGGTAATAATCCGGCTTAGCAGCTAAAAAATTTCAAGACCCAAGAATTAGCTTGTTTATTGGAGCTTAGTTGAAATGTAACACATAATAAAACAGTTTATAGAGAATGTATGAGCGAGATCAGCTCATTCTTACTAGTTAATTTTCCCGTATCAGGATCTTTATCCATCTTCCAATCGATATAAACTAATCGTCCATCCTAAGTTGATAATAAGTTAATAAGTTATGACGATTTTAATGATCAATCCTAGTTTACTCGAGTTACTATACTGATAGTAAGCTCAATCACATATTCAAAGTAGACAAAGAATCTACTGCAATCTACTATATGTTGATAGACTGTAATAAAACTCTTACTTCGGTACCAATAAAGAATTTGCTGTTAACGCCATCCAATGTTAGAGGTCTTACACGGCTTGTGGCTGTCGGAGAAGGTGAATGAAATGATGCACTGCTATACTCTGAGACTAATCGCTGCGGGCTAGGAGCTGGAGGTAGGGCAGTTTGTTGGTGCGATTTACCTGAGCAGGTTAGAAAAGTACAGAAATTACGATTATAGTATTCAGTTACAGAATTTAATCTATTAACTAATCATAATTAAACTTATTAGCTTTTATACTAAAGGAATCAATTACAACTTACTCTTTCGAAGATGTCGAGAGGAAATACTAAAGCAAGTAGGCCCCAGTTCATTCATGGATTCCGATTTTGCTAATGACACCTGAATAGTATTTAAGATGTCATGATCCACTGCAGTTTAAATCTAATGCTCATTATACTACTATTTATGGCATATCCTGATATTATAATGAACCTTCAATATAGGTTTCCAATTTAAATCAAGGTATTTAAATCGCATCGTAACCGCGGTCAGTGATATATCTTCCTTGTCTTTGGCTGTCGGTTTATTTGATCTTGTATCCCAGAACAAGACAGAGCTATACGGATAACAATGATAATGAAAGTTATATTTTAAGAATATTGAAAAGCAATTTATAAAGATACATAGAAATGATCATAGTCATTGCTAGCATTTTTCTTACTTGTCAGGTGAGCATGTAATTAGTTGGTTGCATTGTTGTGATTTATTCTCGATAACGATACCTTGACGACCGATTTCAATTTGCTCAGGTATCCACTGCAAATCAGTAATTGCTGCTCGATGACTAGCTTCGATCGAAGAAACTGCACAATATTTGATGATAGGAGCATGTTCCGATTGTTCTTGATCATCAAATCCAGGCTGAATAAACATGAAGTAGAATGACTAGTTTTACTCTTTTAGGTCAATTTAGGAAGATTAATCCTTTCAATTTAGAAATAAATTCAGTAGGACCTAATTAAGCCTCTACTCTAATAATTAAATTTCAAATGCAAATATGTACCAAATAATTCATGGTATTCCTGTTTTTCTTAGCATTGGCTTTACCACGATATCCACGACGCTGCAATCGATCAGAGTGCGCAGTAATATCCCATATTACCACCTGATATTACGGAATTTAGTTATTAATACATAATCTACGTATTACCATTTTGCTGGTACAACGATTATCAATCAATTTAAATTTTAATATTTGCATTTATTAGTTACCTGGCCGTTAATACAACCACCAGCAACAAGATTTGGATCACTCGGATTAAATTTGAAGCAAAATATATCATCTGGTGCTTCCAGCATTAACTAGTACAATGATAATTAATCATAGATCAAAATCTGAAATGGAACATAATTCAGTTGCTATGACAGAAAGCAAGCCGTCTCCATTATTTTAATACATCCTTATATGAACCTGAGGGTGAATAGGATCTGCAAAACTCCATATTAATATCAATGATGATGTCATTAAACAGCGTGAAAATTGCTCAATCCGTTCGTAATATGATAATTTTTCAGCGCAGGAAACAGCAACAATACCTAATTGATAACATTTGTTTATTACGTGAAAGAGTATTAAGATTGAACACTAATCGTAACTACCTTTTATAGTAGGATGCCAATCAATGCAGGTAATATGTTTATCTTTACTAAATTGTAAGTCGGTAAAGGATTGAAATTCCTAGATTAAGAGTACGAATGTGTAAACAGTTAGCCACATTAAATTTTAATCTCTCAGTAACATACGCTAAAGCTAAAATTATTACTTATTCATTTTTAGTAATTATATGATAGTTAATTTAAATTGGGCAAGAAAGCTTATGCGGATTTTTCGGTTATGAAATAAAATGACAAAGGTATAGTAAATTAAGATATTGACACTTATACTCCTGATCCTTATTCATTCAAGTATTTATTATAAAACAATTTACCAACAGTCGCTGTAATATTTATGCAACTTATATTCGTCCTATCAGACGAATATCTACGATTTTCCATACCTTAAAATTTGTGTTGCTTTGACTAACGATAGTACCATCAGATGATGTTAAAGCAGCATAATCATCATAGAAGATATTCATAATTTGATTTTGCTGTAGTGCGAGTTCGAGCCTATAAAAAGAATTGTTAACTTTTAGTAATTATTCAGTTTTTAAAGTGGTCAGATATATTTTTGTGAACTTATTGCGAGAAAGCCAGTTTATGACTCAAAATTACCTTGGCATAGCTTCTACAATTGTTTTTTTAAATTTTGCTGAATCTAGAATGTCTTCAATTTCATCTGGAGCTAATTCCCGAGGTACATATTGAGTATTGGCATTTCTCGGCTTTGGCCTTTATTAAGATAATTGAACGTGTTAGGTCTAGCGTTAACTAAGTACTATTTAGATTAATAGATAAAACTATGCTATAGTAATTAGTGGCCTTCAATATTACCATATAGTTTGACTGTAGCTGTCGTCGACAATTGGCACAGCCTAAGTATTAAAGCATTGAATAAATACATGGATTCAGTTGCATGTGAGCTATTTACAGTCAAATTAGAAAAATTTGCTTGTCTAAAATGTTAACTTGGGCTATTATATCGCGATATTACCTGTATACCGGCATCATGTTCTAGTTTTTTGACCTTATGGGTCTTATCGTCATAAGGTAAGCATTCAATATAGCCATCTTTAACGTCAGTAACGTTACGATCTGTGAAATTAAGAGGACTTCCAAAATTTGCGCGTGCACGGGATAGGCAGAAGTTTTTCTGAAATTATGATGTATTACACTATAAACGACAGAGGCTAAAAGAATTTTTACAATATTATACAACAAATTATAATTTACGACCGATTGCTCACCCTGGTCCGACTTTGGCAAATATTCCCTTCTTCGATCTCTAATTCGCTACCATAGCTTGACCACGGGCGAGGCGTTCGCAGTCTACGAGGTTCGTAAGGGGTTGCCTCCTCGGCATCATTTTCCAATTCGTTGTTTGCAGCCTGCAGAGAAGGATATTTAGCAGTATTTGAGGGTTCAATAGTTACAGTTTGACTTTATAGCATTTTATAGATTGAGACTAAAACAATCTTTACATTGAGAAAATTTTCTTTAGCTTCTTCGGTTTTACAAAGGAAAAAATTCTGTCCATATTTGAAATCTGGATCGTATACTATTAATACTTCTTCTCCTTCATATTCCTAGATGGAAGAAATATTAGTAAAATATCAGTTCATATCAAACGGAAAAGATATAAAGTCGTTGCTATTAAGAATAGTCGGGTAAACTTTATTACTTTATATAGATTTAAAGTAATGTACGAATGAAACATAGATGTAAGCGATGCAATGAAGGCTATTAATTGCCTACAACACTGATTTCATTACTTGTGGGTGTTGTATCATCAGGCTTGGCTTGAAAATTGATGACAATCTTTTACGACAATATTATTGTATTACCTCAATAGTATCTTTTACAAGATGAAAATCAGAAATAGCTAAACGATTTTTCATATCTTCCAATATCTTCTCTTTGGAGATGAACTTATTTGGGTTTTCGACTGTTACTTCTTCATCGACTTTGCATTCAAAGATAGCTTGCGACGATGAAGTTAGAAATAATGGAATCATCCATTCTGGTGGAGGTACTACTTCTACGGCGTCGTTATCGCCATTTTCAACCGGCGGTGATTTATTTTCTTCCTTAACTTTTTCAGGCATGATGGATAGGCTTATTCGACTGCAATTAATTGCTGTAGCTGTATGAATTCTTAACCTGGTACATTAAAAACAAGAAATTCAAGCCAATTTCGTATATAGTAGAATGATCGTTGACAATCTACCCCTCTCCTGTGTTACTATGGAGACGAGGTTCGAGAAAGACTACGCATGTGTGAATAACATGTCCATACAGTAGAAGGTTATGGGTTCCATTCATGATAGGTGTTTAGTTTGTTGATCAGATCGACATGGAAATAAGTTGATTAGTCCAGTCGTTTCATGACCGTTTGGGTACATCATAGCGTAGTCACCCACCAAACTGCCATTATTTAATATTTGGAAATCATTCTAAATCCTTACAACGGCAGTATGGTGGTCATTGACGTGTAACAAAGAGTCATGTTTGAGTACCTATACTGATCGGTGGAAAACACATCAAAGTTTAAAATTGTGCTACAGACTATCCGATTTAATATTCATTCTGCTTGTGTAGTCGACGATCAAACTAAAGAAAGACCCTCTTACTATTGTAGGTTAGAAGCTGTTGAGTCCAACAGTGGGGATCTCGGTTCTGCTTGTGAACAACGAAGCAATTGTGAGACGAATATTGCATAGGAGGCAGTCGTAAGATATATCATCATGGTCTCCATGTCATGGACAACAAAATGCAGTAGCGAATAACTAGATTTCTTAATCTAGAGCTAAACGTCAGTGAAGTACAGTCTGGTTAGCTTGTGCAAGAGTTGTTGCATTTCAAGAATTTGCATGTTCTGCTCGTGAACAACGAAGCAGTTCTGAATCGAATATTGCATAGGAGACAGTTGTCAGATATATATCATCATGGTCTCCATGTCACGGACGACAAAATGCAGTAGCAAATAACTAGATTTCGTAATCTAGAGCTAAACGTTAGTGCAGTATACTCTGGCTAGCTTCTGCAATGGTTGTTGCATCTCAAGAATTTGCATGTTCTGTTTGTGAACAACGAAGCAATTGTGAGACGAATATTGCATAGCAGACAGTCGTCAGATATACCATCATGGTCTCCATGCCTTGGATGACAAAATGCAGTAGCAAATAACTAGATTTCATAATCTAGAGCTAAACATCAGTGCCGTTATAGTCTGGCTAGCTTCTTGCAATTGTTGTTGCATTTCAAGAATTTGCATATTCTGCTTGTGAACAAGGAAGCGATTCTGAGTCGACTATTGCATAGGAGATAGTCGTCAGATATATCACCATGGTCTCCATGTCTTGGACGACAAAAAGCAGTAGTAAATAACTAGATTTCATACTCTAGAGCTACACGTTAGTGCAGTATAGTCTGGCTAGCAGATGCAAGAGTTGTTGCATCTCAAGAATTTGCATGATATCGTTTCTTGCGTGCTATTCCATGGGCTGCAAATGCTTCTAAAGTTGCACGTATAATTAGTATCTCTAACAGTATTTCATAAAATATGATAAAGTATGAAATAGAAATCACAAGGGGGAAAAATCTACAGTTTAGTGTGAAGGTGTGCAAATATTCATCCAGTACTCTTGTGCTTGCGTCAATTAATACTGTCGATATATTTGACTAGATGATGATGAAATTGTTGGCTACTAGGCAATACGATCAAGGAGTTCCGATCGAGCGGTGCTGGGATATGTTTATAACGATAGTAATGAAAACAGGGTAGAGACTCGCAGCCCGTTCCAAGCCTATCGAGCGTATAAGAAAAAGAGGAAGACGATCGAGAAGGGAAAAGCTTACTGGCCCACTGCTGCCTGCCACCATTGGAATAACTAAAGTGCCCATCAAACGGCTCGAATTGGACTTTTTGGCCACCATTAGAATCATTTATTGGAGGAAAACGACGTTGAAACTATTGCTGCGATATCTACCCCTTTTACTATATTAACAGACGATCTAAATTGAAGCAAAATTCAATAGTATGGAGCCTGCAAAGAGACGCGCTGTTTACGTTGTCGGGGTGGGATTGGTTAAGGTAAGGAGGCGATCCAGATGACTTCTTTTACTCATGATAGACGTAATAGGTTGTTAAAACTACCGTTCATAGTTAATAGAGCCTTGAAATAGGCCATCCAGTTATTTCTATGCAAGTAGTCGTGGATCTGTAAAAGGAGATGACGCTCTTTCTTGATAAAATCAGGCTTAAACTGCAATAGGCAATGGCCAATAATGGCATGATTATTTCCATCGTAAACAACAACATTGCACGCCAAGGGTGCTCTGAAGCAAAAACTTATTGGATAGTAGTAATCATCCAATCGATCCAGTTGTATAGCTTAAATCGATGATACTTCAGACTAGAATGTGTAGAGGATAGTACTTAGTACTATCTTGTTCAAGGAGAGTCTTTTCGTCCTATCGTAGATGTTCTTCTTGAAACTTTTAGTCTTCCTCTTACTTAGCTTTAAGGTAAAATTTCCTGGTAATAGTAGGACTGAGTTTTTGACTATACAGTATGGCAAAATAGGGAGTAGCGTTACAAACGATAAAGAGTGATTGTAGAGTTGCGGACTACTCGAGCAACTTCTAAGCGAAGTTGAATACCTTATTAGTAAACAACAGTGGACACTGTCTTAATAGTATTGATGCTGCCAAGTTGCAGTCATCGGTTGCACTCCCCATCAGTAGACTTTTATCAACAATGGTAAATAGTAATAACGTCGCAACGTTAAATAGCAATGGTAGAGTTCTGGACTACTCCAGCAACTTCTAATGTAAGATGAAATACTCTATTAGCAAATGGACACTGTCTTAATACTATTTATGCTTCCAGGTTGCATTGATGTCTTGCACTCCCCATCGGTAGACTTTTTATCAACAGTATACGAGTAATGGTAATAGTAGTATCATGCCTGAATGCTAAATTTTGATATTAATTTCTTCTCTAAAATTGAGTAAATCGGCTACTATGAACAGCATCAAGTCTACTTTAGTATCTAACAGCATTAGACACTGTCTTAATTGTATTGATATTGCCAAATTTCATCTCTAGAATTGAGTAAATTGATTACTGTTAACAGTGTTATCAATGATTTAATCTCCTGAAGAGAAATGAATTGATAAATTGACATTTCACTTTTATCTATTCGTATAAAGTTTCTCAAGCCGTCTGCTTCTTCTACTCATGATTACCCTGATATGGCTAAAGAAGCTGGTTAGTCAGTAGCTTTATTTCTAATAATATTCGAAACACTGTACTGCTGCTGGATCCTTTTTCAGGAAAACTTGGGCTTACCCAACTTTTGTACAATCACGGATCATATCTTTTTCTTCCTGATACTAAATTAATTGCTATACTCGTAGGTGAAGCCGCCCTAGCCGATGCTGGCTTAACGTATAAAGATATTCAACAAGCTGTTGTTGGCTATGTTTACGGTAAATTACACTTTACCTAGTTAAGTGCAAGTTCAATTCTAACATATTCGTGATAGAACATAGCGTACATTCGATTGCGAAAATTGAAGCAATTGTTAATAATTGCTATTAAAAATGAACTTCTTCCGGCTATTCGTAAAGAGTCATAACTGCATCCGGGGTTTTGATATACCCAGATAATTACCCGAAATTCCGGGTAATTGCAATACTGAAGAGCATACGTAGTAAAGTGTCGCCGTGTATATTATTAACGTAAATTCGCAATAACTTCTTGATAACATAAAATGAGAACGTTTTGAAATTTTGCAATATTATTATTTATTATTAGGAGATTCTACCTGTGGTCAGCGAGCAGTTTATAATCTTGGTTTAACCGGTATTCCTATATACAATGTCAATAATAATTGTGCGACAGGATCGACGGCTCTATTTCTCGCTAAACAGCTGATTGAAGGAGGTGAACTAATCTGATCAAGATTATTGTCTTCACAACTATAAGCACAAATTATGATGGGATATTTTGAATTGCAGGTAACTGTGATTGTGCCCTTGCTCTGGGCTTTGAGAAAATGCAAAGAGGATCTCTAGTCTCTCACGTAAGGGTGATATTAAAAATCTGTAATCGCATAATACTGTATCAAATGGTTCCAAAATGGTATTCAGAACGATCTATATACATGATTGTAGATAGTAAAATTAATTATGGTATTACACTCGATATTAATATCGTATCCAATTTTAGTTTAACGATCGTACAAATCCGCTGGATAAGCATGCTGAAGTGTTATCAGATTGTTACGGAATCCAAGCTGCGCCATTAGCTCCGCAAATGTTTGCTGCAGCTGCTTGTGAACACATGGAAAAATACGGTAATTGATACAATTAAATGAGTCATAGGTAGAATACTATTTCTTATTGTTACATTCTAAGGTTGATTATACATTATCATTTTAGGGACTAAAGCTGATGTTTTTGGAAAAATTGCGGAAAAAAATCACCGTCACTCTGCTAATAACCCGTAAGTCTATTAGATGGATTGTTGAGACTGTGGCTGATACTTATTTCTATGTAATATTGTGTAAAGTAATTATATTTCACCATCGTAGTTACTCGCAGATGAAAACGGTTTACTCTGTGGATGAAGTTATGAAGTCTAGAATGATTCAGTTTCCATTAACATTACTGCAGTGTTGGTGAGGAAATGAAAATATTTTAACTGTCGTAATTGAAATTAAGCATCAGTGCTTCATCATGTCGATCTTATCCATCGAACTCTGTCGTTTTGATTTAAGCCCAACGTCCGACGGTAGCGCTGCTGCTATTTTATGCAGTGAAAAAATGGTCCAAAAATATAATTTGCAGAATAAAGCCGTAAAAATAGTTGGAATGGAAATGAGAACTGATTTTAGTTCTACATTTAAGGAAAAGAGCTGCATCAAAATGGTACCTTACATTTCTTTTATGGAATATTTATAGTATAGTATATTACAGCAGTTGCTATATTATTGTAGTTATTTATGGCCAATAGCTTAAACATTTGTAGAATGTTTAAACTACGAAAGACTGTACTTGCTAAATTCCCTTATTAAATATTGTTACTACGGTAGGTTGGTTATGATATGACAAAGGCCGCTGCTGACTCCGTCTATTCGGCTACTGGTAACTATCTTATTCTCGGACTATTCTACCATATTTTATTGCAATCACAACTGTTTGCAGTAATATTTTTAATATAATATAAAACAGGTATCAAGCCAACAGATGTTGATGTTGTGGAGTTACATGATTGCTTCTCTGCTAATGAATTGATTTCATATGAAGCTCTTGGATTATGTGCGGAAGGTTGGACTAATAACAGCTATTTTTTTAATTTTGATGAATACAGTAATGCTAATTGCTTGTAATTAACTCTATTGTCAGGTGAAGGAGCTAATCTCGTTGAATCTGGTAATAATACTTATGGTGGTAAATATGTCATCAATCCAAGTGGTGGTTTAATATCAAAGGGTCATCCACTAGGGGCTAGCGGTAAAAATGATATTTTATCATTCGTGAACGTTGTTTTTAAATGAATTAGTTTGTATTTATTTCAACCGTTATATTATGTGGTTGCATAGGACTTGCACAATGCGCTGAGCTCTGTTGGCAGTTACGTAATATGGCTGGTAAAAGACAAGTTCCTAATGCTAAAACTGCTCTACAGCATAACATTGGATTGGGCGGAGCCGTTGTTGTTGGACTTTATCAACGTGGCTTTCATGAAAGCCCACAGTATGAACTATATTGATACCATAAAGAATTGCTTTCTTCTGTGTCTGAAATATTACTGTAAAGGATTTATAAAGGTAAACGCGGAATATTTATTAATAACCAATTTTTTCCCATTAGGCTCGCGACTGTGGCAACTGCTGCAAATTCGATTAATTCTGAAACCGTATTTGAACGTATCAAAGAAAATGTTGATAAGGTATATCGTCGATTGCATTGTTAGTTTATTGATGAACACTTTTATGTAAAACATACTAAGTCCGATCAATACCAATATATTGGTATAGAATGGACCGTCTATGGTAAATAAAGTTAAAGCAGTGTTTCGCTTCAAGATAACTGACATTAAATCGAAAGGCACAAAGTTTTGGACACTTAATCTCAAAGATGGAAGCGGTTCCTTGACCGAGGGACAAGAAGGTAAAACTAATATAATTAAGACTGTGTATGTCATTTTTGAAAATAAGTAGATTCATGCTTATATTGTCTTCCTTTTCGTTAGGTAAAACTGATTGCACTATTACAATGGCCGATAAAGATTTCGTGCAATTAAGTACTGGAAAACTCAATCCTCAAATGGTAAGGTTTAGGTGATATATCATGTCTTAAGTATTAACTTAGAGAAAGCTATTATTCTGAATTAATGCTGTCATGATTTCATTCATATCTAGGCTTTCATGGGAGGAAAGTTGAAGATATCAGGCAATATGGCTGTTGCTTTGAAATTGCGACTTGTTTTACCGCAGGGAGGTCCTAAAGCGAATCTATAAGATTTTACTGTAAATGTATTTGCAATCATGTTCATTTCGTATTGCGGTTTAGCGGTAAATAATCAATGTATGTTAAAACGCATATGCTATGGATTACAGATTACAGGAATAATTAATTATATAAGTATGCACATGTATGCAAGCCAAGATAATAGCTAATCAGAAAGACCTTAAGGCGACTCTAATACGGCGTGATAGTATATTAATTGCTAAATTATCTGATTGTACTTTAGTATTTGGGTCTGCTGGTTATTTTAGACTTTTATATCGGGAGACTTTATTGAAAAGTAGATTTGAATAAAAAACGCCTAATTGCGTAGTGACTAATGTAAGATGACATCAGTGTGTTTTAAATTTTTGATGCGCTATGTATGGCTTTTAGTCATCTACAGCTGGGGTAAATTGACTTTATTAACATTGTATTGGAGCGCATATTTTAAATTGAAATAGATAAGCTGTATACTTCGTAGTTCTAGGACTCTGTCATATAAATTTATTGCGTATTTATCTATGTGATGAGAAAGTTAATCTTTAATAAGTATCTTACGGTTTGATTGACAAGGTCGATTAATCATCGCTAGGCTTACATGATAGGTTTCTCAAGATTATAAAAGAGTTTATGAGATGTTGTATGGTAAATTAGTTTTAAATGGTTTGATTGCATGTCGAGTAGATTGCTGAAACTGCCACCGTTTTTACTTAATGATAGACTAGTTTTAAATTTGCGTTTGCTAAGATTCTATCGGTTAGAATATGGACGGTCCCCAATTTTCTGCAGTTTGAGGGCTCATGTAATGCAGACATTTAATAATATTGGAAGATCAACTACTGAATTAGTCACATAAATATCTTTAAGCATAGCTTCTATGTGTATTAATTATATAATTATTGAGCAACTGACTTGTTACCCCGATAAACGTACAATTCCAGTTTCAATCTCACTCCACTGGCTGAATAGTTATTTCAACTAATGCCTGTACTGTATAAGTAGCAGCTAATAGGCTTACTGTACAATTTAAATAGTTTACTTTGCAAATAATTGCTTCTAATGCTCGCTCGGCGGTCTTAATAACATGATCAACAAGCATTCATCGATTAAAGTAGCGTTTTTTTTTACGCTAACAAACATTTAAATATTAAAAAATTGTAGTACATCCAATTTCCGATATCGAGACCCTCAAGACACCCTTATAAGTACCAGTGATTAAATAAGTAACAGTCAATAGATTTGTTTGACTGATCAGAATTTGGGTTACATGATGATATAAAATCAGTGATGTTGCTAAACCACGTACCAGTTCGATTGGGCTAATCAAAAATTAAAGTCATCATACCGAACCAGCTATATTATTTATGGTTCATGACGAATATCTTTTCGTATATCTTTCATTAGTATTTCATTGATTTATTATCGACTAGTGTCATGACTTCATGTAATTACAGTAGTTGTGGGTTAACACACAATATAATTTCGACTGGTAAATGCGAGTCCGCAACGGCAGATAAATTAAATGTCTATCTCATTAATTCATACGTGCTTTCTTACGTGATTTTTTACTTTTGTTTATTGATCTTTTCAGACCACCCTGCAGCTACAAAAGGTTTCATAAATATTAATAAACGAATTTTCATAGTAATTAGAGCTAGTTATGTATTATATTTATTGCATAAGATGATTTTTTGGTCACCTTGCCACACGTAATTGAACTCCACATCCAGCTGGCACTGATTCGTTGGCTTACCTTTCATATACATAAACACATTTTACATCCAATGATATGATCGAATGTAAAATCGTTTATAGATTAATTATACCTTTGAATGTGGAATTCTGTCGCGCCAGTAGTCCTGATAAGTTTTGTCAGCATTTATTAGCTAATAACTTGTTGTTTGTGCAATAACATCCAATGTATACGCTCTGTCTACTACAAAGCGTATATGAGATTCTATACCATTACCATATACTAATAAATTAAAGTCCGTCACGGGATAGAAATAAATAATGTCTATTTACTAGCCCATGGCTACTAAAATTAGGGCTAGCAGGGTAATAATGATTTTATTACATAAGCAAGCTGTAGACTATACAGTAGAGTCCGCGCGGTATCCTGTACGTCTAAACATTTTCTACGACAATATCATACACGAGTTTGCAATACTAAGCTGATGTTAACTCCATCTAGCTACTCTAATTACATCATTAACAAACTAATATCGCAATATTAAAATATAATTTAACGGACTATCTCCATTCTAGGTACCAAAGACACTTAATCTTGACGATTGTTCAGCCACATTTATTTTGTTAACCAATTAATATCGTAATATAAATATAATTCAACGGACTCTCTCCATTCTATGTATCCAAAACACTAAGTACCGTTCTGACAATTATTCATTCCCGTTTAAGGATTATGGATAATTTAACAAGAGATCCTTCTATTTCATTGTATTTGTTGGATGATAGAGAAAAAGATCAACTAAGGTTCATAATAAATTGAATAGATAGAATAGATATTTTTATTGGAAGGATTAATAGTCCATTGCCTTTGATCACGCCATATTTTAGAGTATTCAGCTTAAAATCAGCCAACTATCCACGATTGGAATTATGCACTACTTCAGATCAGATTTCAGCAGACCAAGCTCCACTAGATCAAGCTCCACCAGATCAGTCATTAACATCAGAACTGCAGCAAATTGTCAATAGTGTATGTGCTATATCGTCGAATATATTCTATTGTATTGTAATATAATTCTATACCAAAAGACTGATTATGTTATAGCATTTTACTAGTAGTCCTTGATTTTACTGCATGTGTAATATGATCTATTAATGGACTTTTTTTTGAACAAAATTTAATTTTCATTTTAACTTGCTGCGGAGAATGAAATGAAAGAATTTAATATCCGTTTGTTGTATACTACTAAACAGTCTTGAATGTAATTTATAGCAAAAAGAAAATCTGGTTAAAGCTGTTGATGGGGTAATATGCTTCCAGGTAATATCTACTGTTGATCAACAACTTAAGTATTCCTGGGTACTGGATTTGAAGCAAGGCGAATTTAGGGATGGTAAAGGTGTGAATAAAATGCAATATTTCGTCATACTTGATATCCATTATTTGTTTCAATCTAAATTTCTTTTATAAGGTCTCAATCAATCAGCATTTTCATTTTCGACTTTTATTACAATCTACGGCACATTTTTGTAATCTACTTTAGTTCTATATTACTTTCAATTGCATTCTAATCTATTCCCAAGATAGATGTACTAGATATATGTAAAACACCTCGATCTTTAAATACAACAGTTTCGGGCAGAAATTATATTCAGTTTTATCTTTAGTTCCAATTCTTAAAACATTTATAGTTTCTAGATAGGTGGAAGACCCTACCACAGTTTTGGATATTATCGCCATTCTTAACAGTTTTCTTCACTTCTGGGATTCCACATATTGGGTTATAATCTCTTTCTGGGTCCAATTTTACATACCGTAGTAATGTCGTACTTTAGCATACAAACTGGATTAGAGTTGTAATAACTTCATGTGTTTTAGTGATTTCATAATATTAGGTTGATAATTTATTTTTCAATCTCTTCTCGCTAATCGCAACATGGACTTATGGTAGCTACTTTATTGAATTAAAGTATCTCACTTAATTTTTACTATAGCTTTTAAACAAATATGCATACACTGACTATGTTTAAAATTACGGTAGACTGTTAAATTTCGTTCTGATTTTCTCGATATTATTTGATTTCAAGCATTATGATATCCTATATATACTTAAAATTGATCATTTTCTTTATAGCTGTAGCGTATGCTGCTTCTTATTATTTTATGATAAGCTTTTATAATGATAACTTTAATTTCTGCTTAATACCCGAAATTGTAGCTGGATTACAAAATACTTTTTATCTAATTTTATGACTCTAGATTATCAGTGCCTATATTTTTAGAATTTTATTCTTGCTGTTATTCGTCCTATAGATGAGAATGCTGATTGCACTATTACGTTTACTTCGAAAAAACCAGAAAAGATACAATCAGGCCAGTGGAGAGATCGATTGGTAAGTTTAGTGAACAAGTGTTCTAACTCCGTTAGATCGTTCAATGGCACTAATGCTGAATGAAAGATGTTTATAAAGGCTATCAAACTATCATGTCATGATAGAATTAGTCATAGTACAAACTGTGTTGACAATAAATTAAATTGCTTACACCACTATTGAATTCCTCAAGTGCGAGATCGCCTTAATGAATTGGATTAGAAGGCGGTAAAAAGAAAATTATTACGATATCTATATTCTAAGAAAGAAAATACTGTAAATATACTTATAGTTGCCAAAATACATCAGGTGATAGAGTAAATTTCTTCACTTACTACCTCAATGTTTTATAGAGTAAAGGTAATTATTTAAATACTTAAGGGCAAGCATTTATAGGTCTTGACAGTAAAAGTATGAGACAGTCACAAGCTGTGGATAGAAGAGTAAAAATTAAATTAGAAATTGTGCTTAGAGTAAATGGCTAAAGGCTATAAAAGTATTCCAACACTAATATAATCTATTCCATTAAACGACTTTGCTATAAAGAATTTCGCTATAATAAGTGCATGTTAGCGATGCATTTAGCCCAGAATTTAACGATAGAAATTACGCCAAGGGTAGTTTTAACGGTAAAATATCGGTACAATTAAAATGTGAAATAGGCCTACTATACCGTCTGAATAAACATTGCTATAGGCAGCATATCTTCATAGCAATAATTTAATTTGCGGCTAGATAACCTACTATAAGTTAAATATTAGAACTTAACGAAATCTTTCCATTAAGACTTCTACTTTATCTTATTATACGGATGCTCGTATTTTAGATTGTGCATTAGATTAATCAATGAATAAGACTTTCTTCATATAAGATGCAGTTTCAATAGTTAGCTATCTTCATCACCTATACTATCAACTTTCTACAATTAATATCGCAGTTATACGATTCACTAATTTTAAATTTGTGCTTGGGTCTACAAAAGTGTGTAGCTTATTTCAAGGTCTGCTGTAGGGCTATCTATTTTACAACTAGATCCTGTGAGTGTCATATCAATATCTCATTATGCATCAAGAAAGAGTAGCAGATTCTATGTCTACAATAATACTTATCGAGCCTCTAAGATAATATGAGTATATATTTGTGTCCATTATTTATTTCAATTATCAATTACTGAAATATTTATGGCCTTTTTTTAGTTTTATCACTCTAGACAGGCATTTTTCTGTTCGTTATAGTTATATAATACGAGTATGATCAAATGCTAATAAATGTCATTATGAAATATTGATATTTTCATTATTTCTCATCTGGTTATATCTAGAAATCCATATTGAAATCATCATGGAATATTACTGGTGACGAAAGTGTCTTTCGTCGTTTATTGCGGGTATTGATTAATAATCGATTCAATATGCCCTCATTTCTAAGTGGATTCTTAACCGATTTTTTCGGTGTTATTATTAAGTTAAAAATTAAATCCAAACTCTAGGCCATTTTCTGACAGCGCTAAATAGATAACTAGTATCTCGTATTTAAACTGCTATCTGTACTATCTATGCATTATAAATTTCTATTGGCTAGTCTTTGATTATTATATTGTTAGTGTCAACAATTTTTAAACATTATCTACTTAAAATAATGATTAATCATCGATAATACTACTTTACTGATCATGATGAACTTTTCTATAATTGTAAAGAAATTGATAATAATAAAAAAGTAACACCTATCTCTGAGATTCTAAAATTGATATCCAATTATTGTTGCTTAATAAATAATATGCTGTATAGTAAATTTGCACATTTACATTCTAATCGATATCAAAATAGCATTGCACTACTGCACCTTAAATTTAAAGATAGACAATGTTTGTAAATTTATCTGTAGCATGTTAACATTAGTGAACCCTATACGAGTGTCACACTTAGGCAATTTATTCTGGCATTAGAACTATCATTCCTAATTATTTCAATTCACTAAATTACCTATACCTATAGTTAACCTATGGTTATGTAGATGCGATATCTATTTCTGATAGGAATATCTTGGATTGCTCATACCATTTCACTCTCATTCAGTTTAAACTAATTAATTACAATAGATTTATATTCGATAGAGTAATTATGACAGAAGTGCTTAATCTAACATCATCTATTTCTGTCAACATTCTCTAGATTAACTAAGACAATGATTAGTGTAAACATTAAATGAGAATTTCAACCTTATTTACAAATTGTTAGATCCATCAGGTAAAAGATTTAGACGCTTATTGCTGTACCGTTATATTGGTGAAATGAAGTACATTAAGTTTTAGAATATCTTAATTGCGGCTACAAAATATTTGGAATGAAGGTATCCTTACAAACTTGCTTGCTTGGCTGTAATACATCAATTATATTATTAATTATTATACAGTGATGTATATTAAATTCAAATTAAAAGATGTTACTTAAGATAATAGCTGAGTTTAAAATAGAAATTTTTTACCATCTCTACTAATATTTAGCTTGTTTCGGCTGTACTATACAGGCGCTAATCCCAGGTAGAATGTTAGATACCTTAAATTAATCTGTATACATTGTATTCACTATTCAATGCACCAATTCGAATAAGTAGATTCAAAATAGGAGAAGAGATGTAATATAAGTATTTAATAGTATTCATTACGTATATCGTTGCTCCAGTCTGCAGTATCTTATAAGGCCTTTTGATTAAAATTTAGATATTGTAGTTTATAGGGTAAATAATGGATTAAATTTTCTTTTACGATTGAATAGCCCTAAAATTACCTTAACACCTTTTTGGCTATTTCTATAAGATTTTTATGTACATCAGAATCAGGTAGATACTAATATTGTTATTAGTTCTCAATAATTTGTCACGAATACTTATTCAACAAAGAAAGCCTTTACTATTGCTATTCTACTTGTTTTCATTTAACCTGTTAATATTTGTGAAAAATACGAGGTAGTAATAGCACTGAATTCAGTCTAGTTGTGATAATATTTTGAAACGCAAATGTCATGACAGGTGCATACTCGTTACTGTAATCTTATTTAATCAAATCTTTGTTATTCTACTGGAGTTGCAGTTTTCCAAGTTCATTTGTAACTTATGGATAAAGAAATTGTTCAACATAATATGGCTATTAATTAAGGGAGTTTACCTGTATTCTCATCTTTACTGAATCATAGATGATCCTCTAATTGCAAAATTCTCACGACATTGATTGATTTGAGAATAACTTAGAGATGGTATTTATAGGTAAGTAAGTAAGTGCCAAAATAATACGCCAATAACCTGTATCGTATACCAACGGCACATAATTTATTCTATCATGGCTTGATTTAATTAATCTAGTCAAGAAAAAGCCTGATTTACGATGCTACTTTTACAATAACAAATCTAGATTTACTATGTCCTAGATTTATTTCCCTTTTTCAGTACCGTTTAAGAATTCATTAGTTAATTAATACTTTCGAGAAACAAATTCGGATTTATTACATGCTAGAGTTATTTTCCCTTTTTCTGTATAGAATGTCGAAGAATTCATTGGATGATGAATTTATGGACAAAGTCTTTATTCAAATATTTTAAGGCAGATATTAATGAATTAATTAATAAATTAAATCAAAATTATACCCCAGACAAAATAAAGTATCATGTCTCGTTCTGCTTGTATTTTAAAATATCTTAATATTCTTATAATATATTAATAAAATTTTATTTTTAGTCACGAGCTGGCTTACTGTGTGGAAACTCCGTAAATTGTTGAGACATCGTAGTTGACAAATTAGAAAAATTTGATTAAAAAGAGGTTATAGCTAGTTCAAAGGTTAATTTCAACAGGGTGTTGTTGAAATAATCGAATTATGATGAAAGTCGAATACGTGATTAGCTCAAAGGAAAATGCTATACCTTTCATATATCCCTCTGTAATCCCCTACTGTGATTGAGCAAGACTTGGACCATGAAAAGCTTTGGAGCTAACATAATCATCATTATGATCTATAATAGAACTAAAATAATCAAATTTCCATAGCAATAAAACCAAGATTCGTCCCATAGATAATTAAAGAACGCGAATTGAAATGACATAAAGTAACATTTTTTCCAAATGCTATTGCGGGAAACAGCAATTTGCTTTCTGTAATAGGCGGCATTTTTATACATTCTACTCGATATTCATATTCTTATTTTCCATAATTTCCCTTCGTTAAAATTAATGTTAAGAAATAGAGAAAATAAGCTATAGTAATATATCATCAGCAATCTTGGTCCTATTATCCAACGTGTCGCGACGCTCCGATAGTAATAAAACAACTTTAACTCTAATGTGAACTTTTTGTGGTATCATCATCTATTAGAGTTAGTCTACTGCAAAATACGAATGTATTGTCCTAAAAGTTCAAAGTCTATTCCTAGTTATATAGGTTGTGTGAATTATGATCAATCATTCACCTTTGATACCCTGCATGCCATTAAATCAACAACTAGATTAAACCTTAGCCTAGCTAGTGTATTTGCATGTAATTTTCAACTTATTATATACCAATTATTCGGTGCATTTTTGCTCACTTTGTCCGGCTAGCAAGCAAGCTTTGCACTTTCCTCGGATAGTTTCTACAAGTGTCGCTGAAGTTTCGCCTTTCCGTAATCTATTTTTTTCTTATACCAGGTAGATTCTACTCATTTATAGATTAATTTTAACGTAAAATGGATAGAGATAAGCTGCTGTCATGTATAAATTTATAGCATAGTAATGGGATTCCATTTTGCGATGCAGTCCATGTAATATAGGAATAAAATGGATGGCTAAATCTACATTCTTTCATGCAATTAGCCAAATAAAAATAATTTCTTCTTTATCGTTTATTGAATGAAAATGAAAATTTTGTATTAAAATTGCCGCATCAGTAAATCGATTGAGATTGAATCTTGCGTATTACCGTAGAAACATTGAATTTAATTTCAAACTCTGACAGCATAGGACAATTTTGTCTAATTTAGCCGTAGCTCTTTCCTTGAGCAGATGACTAATAGTGGCAATCTTCAGGCGTCACAAACTACCAAAATTACATTCTAAGATTCCAGTGCCATCGTGGAAGTACTAAATTTAGATTTTAGTTTGGCCTTAATTAGCTGGCAATGATTTAATAATGCAATAATTAAGCTGTAATCACCGTCAAAATTGTCAAGGATCCATTTGACTATACTCTATCGAATTTGAACGACTTAGACCTGTTGCCAGCCAGAGCGCCATTGGTAGTACATCATTCTCTCGCGATCGATAACAGCTATTTTATATATTAAGTACAGCATTTATAGACTTTATACTATATTTAAAGGTCGAAAATTTATCTTTTCTTATATTGGATCCAGGACTTATTTTTTTTTACGTTAAATATGATACGATTTTAAATGAGTTCCGTTCTGCAATTTAGAAATCGTTAAATGATCTACCAATTCATTTAACCCCTAATCAAAATTTTAATTTTATATTACTTTTCCTATTTCTACTGTATCCAACTGATGATCTTAAATGATAGCAAAATCCTTCATCGCTATTAAAACCCTATAGCTACTTTACTGTATATGTTTTATTTACTTACTATCATATTTTTGGAGTATTACTATATGACCGTGATATATATAATTAATCTAGCGACGCAATAAACAATTCAAGATCATTGTATTGTGACCAACTCGAATTAACATAAATTCTTATTGTATCTTTTCAGGTTAAAGCTAATTTCAAAAAAACAAGCAAAATGGGTGAAATGGCTAATGATGTTGAAGTGCCTACTTTCAAGGGCGAGGGTACCAAAGCTAAGGTTATTTTCGAAGAATTAGCAAGACTATTACCGGTCAGTATCCATTTGAAAGCTGCTCCAACCCAATTGATCACAGTATAACGTTTCTATATTACTGATAGTATAAGTGCACAAATTTAGAGAGTAGAAGATTTTTTGCTTTAAGATTAGCAGTAGAGCTTAACTAGGAAGTGAATCACATATACATCCTAATTGTAATTATTATTACCGAGTCAATTTATATATTTTTAGCTGTTCTACAATAAGATAAAATTGCTGTAATTATTGCACTAATATATATGACATAAAGGTATTAAACGGATTAGTTAGCTCAAACAGCTTGCCACATTATCTCTTAAGCGTATATATTCTATTAATCTTGCCTGATTATTGTAATATTTCGATAAAATGGCCACATTTAAAAGTAAAATGTGGTACTGCTTGTATCTTAATAGGAACTGTAGAGGTTTCTGTTTTAAATACAACTGAAAATGATAGTTGCTGTATCCTGGAATTAAATCCGGTTTACACTATTGAATGTAAAGCTGTATAGCTAGTGAGCTTCTACTCAGGCTTTTGTCGTAAATTAACTTAAATACTTTAATTAGTGCTGTTGTATAAGTTTTAAAGTAGACGTGTAACGAAAGTATAGTATCCTGGTTAACATCTGCGTTTGTTTGTTGATAAGCTTATTCCGATATCTATCGAAGAATTTAGCAGTAACTTGAAAATAGACAGCGTTATGATCAGAAATTTATTAGCTATTGATTGATGGAATAAATAATAGATTTAAATTTAAATTAAAAAGGAATGAATACAGTAAAAGTTCAGTAAACTTATTAGTAATACTTTGTCTATCAAGAAACTGATCATATCCATTGAATCATTCGTTATTAGACACACGGTGAAGCAATTGTTAGTAAGGTCCAGGCCGTATTTCTATTTAAAGTCTTCAATCACGGTGTCTATAATCGTCCAACCGCACAATCTCAATATGCTTTTTGGGTTTTGGATTTGAAAAATGGATCAGGAACTGTTCGACAAACTGATAAATCAGGTTAATCTACTTACGAAATACCCTTTCAAAAATAAATAATCAGCATACATATTTAAGCCGTTAGTAGTATCCCGAAATAGGAAATATTCTGAAAATTGGAGCTAACATCCAGTGATGTTGATTGTACATAGATCAGTCTAGTATCAGAGATTTCCAATAAATACCTTAATTAGGACGTTTTCTAAATATATTCTAAAATAGATCATCTTAGCGATAGAGATTTCTATAATCGTATTCAAATTAAAAACTTTTCTAATTTAGTGCGAACGTAAAAAGATTATTGTAATACTTTACCGCATAAAATTACCTTTTAATACGGTGTTAGTCAGATACAAGATACCTTTTAGCCGTTATTAACAGCCCCAGAATAGAAATTTTTCTGTCACTCTAAGCCAAGATAGTATTTACTATGTATTCCACGGAAATTACTGTAGCAATAGAAAATTTCTGTACGGATATATTTTAAATTGCATTTACTGTATCGTAAAAGACTGGAATGTAGTCTTAATTAAGATAGTATGATCTAGCTTTAGGCAATGGTAATGAAATCACTAATATTAAATTATTATATGTCTCATGTAAGATATACGTATATCTTTATTATTAACTTATATTATCGAGGAATAAGTTTATCACAAACTCATTTTGAGTGCCCGAAATTTTCGCGATTGAGCTTTCATGTCTGTATTTTATTAAAAAATTTAATGGTTTCCGTTATATGTCGGGCTGAAATTTCTGTGCTGGTAATAGTAAATTATTCGCTTTGTATCCGCAAATTTAAAATTACAGTGATATAATGCTAAATATCAAACTTTTGATTACTTAAATTAGAACCCTGCGATTTAATGTTTTTCGGCTCGGACGATAACTTTGAGAACATAATGACTGGACTACAAAACCCACCTGTGGTTAGTTGATAGATGGATGTAATTTAAGTAATTTGATTTATTGTTATGAATTCCTAGCCTAGTTTTGATTGATTTCTATTGCACCTTAAATATAGCGTTGATATGACTTTTTGATCTTACTATGATACTAAATACTTTTGAAACGATAGAGAACCAATACAATTATGATTGATACTAAAAGGAAATTTCAATATTGGCTTTTCATAATAGTAACACAGCTACATTAATATTGTCGTCATAGTGATTCCCTTATATGGTTCTGTTTTTCAGTTTTAAATGAAATATGAAATTTCATCTACCTTCAGTAATAAATATTACGAGGCATTATTAAAGTAAACATTAGTATTGCCATGCGACATTGAACCAGATTCTAAGAATACCTAGTTTGCAATATATCTTCATCCTTTCCACTTACTGTTACTGTCTGCAATAATCTGTTATTTGCCTTGGTTACTAGATTTATGCTATTTATAGATATGTTTTGTTAATTACAAGTATATTCGCATTTTTACCTTAATTACTAAGAAGATACTGCATTACTAATATCTATTCATTGCTAATATATTAAAACAGGCAAAATCTACTCTCAGTATGATTGTATTATATTTCCGTTACAAATGATCTCATAGCAGTAGTATTTATTAGTCGCTGCTCTATGATTGAGGATAATCTTACTTAATACATCATCATTTATAACGCTAATACTTAACCAATGTTTGCATATAAATGGTTACAACACTACCATTAACTCTTTTCCGTTACATTAACCCTACTACGATTAAAGATGAATAGAGTTAGGAATAGAAATTGAAACAAACTGATCACATTATTACCTTATCTATAATATATTACAGGAATTTTTCCGAGGCCATTTTGTTGCAAAAGGCAAATCTTACTTGTTGGCTAAGCTGAGGGAATTGAAGCCTCTTCATGCTGATATCCGGGCCAAGTTGTAATAGCACGTACATGATAACCATGTGGAGATAATGTATTGCTCCCACATTTGCATATTTTTAAGCCAATTATGAAAAAATGGACATGCATTTCTTGCTTATCTACATGATATTTTTGTATGTTCTATTCCAAAGTGTGGGTGAAGTTTGCTTGTTTAAGAACGAGTAGTGTATTTCATGATTTATCTTTACTGTTATCATTGTAAGCCAATTATTGGCCGTCAATTACAACTGTTAAATTAATAATGCTGTTTTATTTACGGCTATTTTTATGGTCGTCTAGATATCATGATCATCATTTTACATGCTATCCAAAAAAATTACCGATCGTCTACCCCACTACAACAAACCTTTCGAGTGATTATTACCCTTTTCTACCCAAATATTTTTATAGCAATGACTGATCAATGTTACTTCTCTTAATTTATTAAGGCACCATGAATAATTGCAATGAGACAAAGAAATGACAATAAAGATTAAAATTTAATCCCTATAAATCAATGATCAAAGATAACTTTTGGATCGTAATTTTGTGATCAAAATGAACTCGCATGTTAATTTGATACATTAAGTTATCAAATAATATAATTAAATTACAAGAAATACTAGTTTTCCTTAGAGTATTGTTGTTACAACTTCCAAATTTTGTAACAAGTACTAGATCTGCAACTCAGCAAGGAGACCCAGTAATTAAGTTGAAGAACTAACTTTATTGTTAAAATGAAGAGTTTATATACTTTCTTTATTGTGACCTTTGATCTACTGACGTAGATCACAAGATCATCACTAACAGAAAGGTTTCCCTAGTTTAGTCATTACAAATAGACTATCATGCCAAGTATGGCAACATGAGAATACATATATAGATAACCTTAATATAGTACCATAACTACATCTATATACGCCTGACGTGATAACATCGTGATATTTAACCATATATAGAAAGAAGGTAACATACTAATTATGTAACTATTACAGAACGTGACAATTGTGAATAGTATTAATTTTAGTATCATACCTGAATACACATAGCAAAGTATAAATTAAGTATGTAGTCGTAATTGTGTTAGTAAAAGTTTTAATTGATGTTGCACATATAAGTTTACTTGCATAATTTTACTTATTTTGTGAGTAATCTGTAATAGAACTGCTTTCATAATCTAAATTACTTGATAAATATTAGGGTTGTGTTCATAACTAACTGAAATATATTAATCTTTAGCGTTAAAGTCATGTTGTTATCTGAACTCTGTATATTTTGTTTTATAAATCAATCTGAGCTATCAGCTTAAACTAAGGATAGTGAATGTATATCATACATCGATTGCACTGTATAGTCTTTATTCATCACGCAATGAAAAGTGACGAGTTTCTGTTTCTATATAATTAAATATGTATGATTGCACATACAAGGATATACATAAGACTGGAACACCGTGAATATAAACCTTCTAATATTTAGCAGATCTTAACAAGAAAGGTAAATTTTATTACCGCAATTAAAGATTGCCTAAAAATCTCTTAATCTAAGCAGTATGATACCACGTTAGACTAATTAAGCATATTAGGCCTGATTATGATAAATGAAAAACTTTGGTTACTTAATGGATTTTACACACTGATAAAATTTTCAATTAAAAACTGCTTGACATTGTAATGAAATCAATTAGGCAAGACGGCATACTATAAAGCAAGCTATGGAATGGATAATTTTTCTACTTTATATCGGCCTCTTTTATGGTTAAGATACATACTTTATTTTCAGAATGAAAGTATGGTGTGGTAACAGAGGAATTTGCTTTAATCCATGAAAAGAACCTCAGTGTATAATTAAGTGACTGGTAAGAAGATTTTGCTGGTACTATTTATTTTATTAACGTACGATGTATTTGAATAATAAATGCTGTGCTTAGTATCAGGAATTATTTCTAATATAATAGGTATTAGTGATATTGAAATTCTTTCGCTATTTATTTACTTATATTATGACTTAACGGCACACATTAGTGTTTCCTATTCATTTTTACAACATTAATTTCTATCAGAAAATGATTAATTAGATCATGACTGAATTTTCGTGTTATATCGAGCTTTGCAGTGAGTTGATATCTTCCAAACTATTTAAAAAATTTAATGACTCCTTATACAAGAAAGAGTGTTGAGTTGGTATGAGAGCAGAAGATGGATACCGTAGTTCTGATCATAACTACTTCTTTCAGTATTAGAATGGGCTGCTATCTTATGTATATATTTAAATTTTATTATCATTTATTAAGCCTTGTATGAAAGTAAATTTCAAAGCATGGCACTAGGAGTTACTAAATTTAGCTTTTATTTATATCGTCTGACAATCAATGATTGCACTAATGGATGTTGAGTAATATTTTAGGAGGATATGAAACAAGATCTTGTCAACAACAGTCATCTAATAGTAGTATTATTCCGCAGTTGTTCAAAACTAATTATATCTTAAAATATTACGTACGCGTATGTATTTAAATTTATTTCATAGTCCTCTGTCTTCCATTACTTTCATAAATATAGTACATCATGTGTAGACACTAAATAATCTAAATAGTTATCATCATATTATATGTACAAACTACGCGCTGTTATTGGATAGCTTTAGTTACACTTTATCATTCGTTGCTAACCTTGCAAACTGGCCTACTCACTCAATAGATGCCGGCGCGGGCATATTATCTCTTACCGTTATGATCTAATTCTAGATACACTATTAGCTACTTATAATATGTTCTCGCTGCAATAAATTCGAAATGAAATATCGAAGTAATTTAACGTTGAGATTAAGTTGCTTACTGAAGGGGTATATAAGAGCATTGTTATTTAATAACTTCTGCTATCATATTTCAGATGAATCACCAGCCTTATGCAATCTGTTGCACTTATTGTCAGACAGCTGTTAGCTATCATTTAAAATGAAATTTTTATACAAACCATAATATTTCGTATAATTATAACTATCCTATTTATTGACTTATATGAATTCAATGCCATACTTTTCCGACATACTCAGTATCTTATTAAACAGCTGCCGATAATATCCCTGAAACTGTAGGCTACTTTTTATCTTGAGCAGTAGTTCAATTGAATAGTTAAAGTCCTTCCTGAATGATTACTTGATTAAAATATGGCGCCAAGGAAAAGTAATAGTGGGTGGAATAACTATCCCAATCCCCATTTATATGGATCAATACTACTTTCAGTAAATTTTTTTATATCAACTAATCATACCTAAGCGAATATTTCATGACTTGATTGTTAGCTATTTGGTTTACGAATAGCTATTTCTATTAATTCAAGTAGGCGTTAAAATTTACTTAATGGCATGCTATTGATTACTATCTGACGAAATATTTGTCAAATTAGATCATTCGAATAATATTCATAATAATGTTCGTATTAATGTAAACTATTGATATGTTGCCGTTTCTAACTAAACTTAAAAGCATTGGCTTAGTGATCTTCATTCAATTCCATAATTACAGGCATAAATTTCATCATAATTTCTTCAAAAGCTTATTTTTATGCAATATTTGCATAGATATTTCTCTGTTTATGGTTACTTGCTTAGTTTAATTTAAGTTCGAATTAAATAAAGAAAATAATATTATTGTGCAATTAATTTAGAGTAATTTCTCAAATATGCATCGGATAACATGGCCATGTTTAATACTTTTGAAATGCATACTATAGCTGGATATCATTGCCACGTACATTAAGTTTAATCATATAGATGTGAGCAGCAACAATTTTTGATACGTTAGCTCCTTAACATGATTTTAATACTATATTGCATCTTTAGATTGAACTAAATGCTAACAACTTTTGATGTATTATTCACCAATGCTGGCCTGTAAAATTATTTTTTCCCTAGTTAAGAAATCTGACAGGACTACTTTAAAATTAATGACACTTTCCGACATGATATTAAAAAATTTAAAGAAAAACAAAGAGACTTTGTTAGGTAATAAATACATATGAACAACACGGTTTAATATTGCTAATAGCTATTACTAAAACATTCCTAACCCACCCAGATTACTCATTATATTTACTTTTATATATTTAGCCAGATAAATAAAACGTAATTTTATTTGACAGTATGTGTATATTCGAATTAGTTTATTTATCATGAAAAAAATAAGGTAAAATCCATGTAATCTTGACATTGATTACATAATTTATGGCAATGATGATGAAATAGTTTTAAATTAATGCGTTGAGAGTTTACATCTTAAGCATTGTTGACAAAAATGTACGCCTCCGATATATATGCTTACTTTAGTCGTAGATTTGAAGCTTAATTAATTTTACTCTTACTGCTATTTCAATTTTAAAACTATAAAATACTAGCGGGAGATTATTTTTAATCTATTTTTATGCATAAGCCCTTTTAAGTAATGACTCAACGTTAAGCTATGAAGTCAAGTAAAAATAGATTAACGATTAGATTTATTCTTACTAGGCAACATGCCATTTATAGCCATCAATAGTGGTACAGCAATACATTAGTTATACTCATTAGCGGTGGTACAGATGGAATAAATTCTTTACAATTCGATAAATATCATTATTCTCTTATGCAGTTGTTACTCTAAAATAGTAAACAGAAAAATTATTTTATAAAGAATATGCTAATCCATTATTGCTTTCTAATTAATTAAAATTGTGGACTAGACTTTTATACGTTCCTTGATAATTGACAGTGGCCACCAGCAAATTATTGATGCTTGCCTAGTAAACACGCGTTATAATATCTATTTGACATAAAATTTACACAGGATTAATTTTTGAGCGCTATAACATAGAATATTACATATTGTGCAACTGGTACACATGTTAGGCTATGAAGGAGTAAGCTAAAGTCCACTTGAGAGTCATAATTTAAGCTTTAAATTTGCGAAGGCGTTGTTCGTCACATATTGTATCTACTTAATTTTATTTAATCGGCATCTTTCAGGATATTTTAACATTTCGTC